ATCTTTGCCGCCCGTTACCGTGACCGAACGTGACAGATGGCTTCAGTCTTGGAGCTGTTTAGCTGCAGAAAGTTTTGCTTCATCCACGCCTTTATCTCCTCCAGGCAGGTGGTCAGAGTGGATGATGGCAGGGCAGCAGAGGGGGTTGGGTTTGTCCTGAGGCAGAGTTGAGTGTCATCAGCATAGCAGTGGAATGAAATCCATGCTGGCTGATGACATGGCAAAGGGGGAACATGTAGATAATGAACAGGGTGGGGCCGAGCACTGAGCCATGAGTGACACCACAGGTGACATTGTGTGTAGGAGGAAGGAGCCGGAGCTTGTGCGGGAGGTGGAGCGTTATCAGTTGGATCTGGTGGGGCTTACCTCTACGCACAGCCTCGGCTCTGGAACCACACTGGATAGGGGATGGACTCTATTCAACTCCGGAGTGGCCCATGGTGTGAGGCGCCAGGCGTGTGTGGGGATACTCATAAGTCCCCGGCTGAGTGCTGCTACATTGGAGTTTACTCCGGTGGACAAAAGGGTCGCCTCCCTACGCCTTCGGGTGGTGGGGGGGAAAACTCTGACTGTTGTCTGTGCATATGCACAAAACAGCAGCTGAGGGTATTCTGCCTTTTCGGAGACCCTGAATGGAGTCCTGCATGGGGCTCCAGTAGGGGACTCCATAGTCCTACTGGGAGACTTCAATGCGCACGTGGGCGACGATGGAGATAACTGGAGAGGTGTGATTGGGAGGAATGGCCTCCCTGATCTGAACCCGAGCTGGTGTTTGTTACTGGACTTCTGTGCCAGTCACGGATTGTCCATAACAAACACCATGTTCGAACATAAGGATGTTCATAAGTGTACATGGTACCAGAGCACCCTAGGCCAAAGATCAATGATCGATTTTGTAATTGTATCGTCTGATCTGAGGCCGCATGTTCTGGACACTCGGGTAAAGAGAGGGGCAGAGCTGTCAACTGATCACCATCTGATTGTGAGCTGGGTCAGAGGATGGGGGACGACTCGGGACAGACCCGGTAAACCCAAGCGTGTAGTGAGGGTGAACTGGGAACGTCTGGAGGAGGCCCCAGTCCAAAAGATTTTCAACTCACACCTCCGGCGGAGCTTCTCTCACATTCCTGTGGAGGTAGGGGACAGAGTGGTGTATGTTCAAAACCTCCATTGCTGAAGCCGCGGCAGTGAGTTGTGGCTTCAAGGTCTTAGGTGCATCAAGGGGCGGTAACCCTCGAACCACGTGGTGGACACCGGTGGTCAGGGAAGCCGTCCGACTGAAGAAGGAGGCCTTCCGGATTATGATATCCGGTGGGACTCCGGAGGCAGTTGCAGTGTACCGACAGGCTCGAAGGGCAGCAGCCTCTGCTGTGATGAAGGCAAAGCAGCAAGTATGGGAGGAGTTCGGGGTAACTATGGAGAAGGACTTTCGGTCTGCACCAAAGTGCTTCTGGAAGACCATCCGGCACCTCAGGAGGGGGAAACGGGGAACCACAACAAGTGACTTTCCTGACTTGTTCAAGTCAGGAACAACAATCATTCGCCTTTTCAGATCCACGCTGAGCTCCTTTGACTTTCCCATTATAGCGTTTGTGGGCGTTTGTATCCAATGAGCTCTATTTAAATGGCCTCAGAGTCACCAGCTGTAGTCACTCATAACCCCTCACAAGACGTTAAGAGGCCATGAAGCTCATTTCATTAACACAACTTTCTAAGTCACCAAAATTGCTAATTTATGTTGCTGTATGTATTTTTTTGACCCAACAGATTTAGTCACTTTTTCTGTTAACCCATAATAAAGTCATAAAAGAACCAAACTTCATGAATGTTTTTTTGTGACAAAGAAGTATCTGTTCCAATCACTCTATCAGAGAAACATCAGACTTGTAGAAGAAGTGTATGTAAACTTTTGACCACATATGCACACTTGTTTGTATATTGCCCTTTCCAACAATGACAATGCAGTCGGGTAAAAATGTTACAAATCAAGTGATTTCCTAAATACATAATACCCTTTGTTCATAGAACAGCAAAATTGAAAAACAAATGTCTTGTTTCATGTCCTTGTGTGCCTAATGAAGTGGCTTAGTTCAGATAGCCGAGACATATTCATTCCCTCTATTTGTATTTCCTCCGTTTTCACTCAAATGCCCCAGAAACCCTCCTCCCCAAAGCCCTCAGTGAGAGAGAAATGAGCAGATGAAATGGAAAAATCCCAAATCCATCTCAATTTAACCTCCTGCTTGAGAAATTGCTGTGGCCAGAAGGGTTGTGAGGATGCGTTCCGGAACATGGAATCCAACAGGTGTGTTCCGCTTCTACTAGTTGTGCTTTTGCCCCAGTAGATGGCATCCTATTCCCATAAATAACATTCCCGTTTTTCTTCAGTTAGTGTCGGACATCCGTGGCTCCAGGAAACCATTCAAGGAAGAATCCGACAGCTGATAAAGTACCAAGATTCACCCCATTTCATTGGGAAAAACATTTCCACTGCAATTATCAGCGGCCTTTTGACCCCACTGTCAGGAAAGAACTGTTTATCTCACATACATCTCTGGTATCAGTTCTGTCCACACACTTATGGTTTTATGAATGTGTTATGTTGGAGGTCGGGAAGAATATGCCGTTAAGGGGAGTTCCTCTGAGACGATGTGTTGCACAAGAGCTTGTGAGCTCGTTTACAGCCGCTTGCCAACTGAAAATATTAGCATTGGATAGCGAGGTGGGTGGGAGAAACAGTCATCGGGATGGGGAGGAATGCTTGAGGAATGTCACATGTTTGAGTTTTAGCCCTCAGGTTTATAGACTCGAGGCGTCACTGGAAGTGTGCGGAGAGGTTTCAGAACCAAATAAAAGCCCATCAACCTGTTTTGTGTGTCAGTCAAACAGTCAGGGAGCATGTCCCAGAAATTCTATTAACTTTGTCATGTCTTGGACTGGATGCTGAAAAGTCAGAGACAGATGTCTCAAAACCTTTAAATTGTTGTGTTAAAAAATCTTTGATTGAAAAGTTAAAATCAAAAGTATTTAATAAAGGAAAAGGTGTTTTGCTAAAAAGAACATCTCCACTGTGTATTCGCTGGTTTCTGCAATCAACAGGCCCCAGAGTAGTTCGTGACCCTATAGTGCCCTTCCTCTTCCACAAAACCAATTCTTGAACAATGCGTGCCTGCAGGTATTTATGCAGATATGTAAAGGTGTGAAAGGCAGTGCCAACGCCCCTGGGCATGGGACTTCTCCTGGTGCGTTCAGTGTAACTCGGATTTCGATTGTCGATAATAATCCACAATTCATAAACCTTCGCTATGGATACTGACAGATGCAATTGGAGGGTCAATGAGGAAACTTGTTTTGTGTGATTTAGTTGAAACAAGCCTGCTGTTTGGCTCACCCGTGTAACTGCTAGTATGGAAGGTTAGTGGGATTAGCAGCTAGCTAACTAGCCAGCTTCTAAATGAGTGATACCTTAATGCTTTATCTACAAACATTCATCCACTCTAGTCGCAGCATAGGAAAGCACACTGAGCTTGCCATCTAACATTGTCCCTATAATTTCATGTTAGCAGGGTAGCATAAAAGCATGGCGGAGCTAGCTTGCTAATTGCCCATGATTTGATGCTACATTGGTCATAGGAATAAACACAACAACTGACCACCTCTTCATCTCGCTAACACTTTAGCATTTTTCACATGCAGGCAGCAGCTATGAAGGTTGGAGTTCAGCAAAAAACTAAGCGAAGAAAACCGACATTTACGTCGGGGTATACAGTAGAGTTAAAGACATAAGTCTGAGACACAGTGCATAGGAGTCTCTGGGAGCCACTGCCAGCTGCCAACCTGCCACCATCTGACCCCCTCGGGTCGGAGCTTCCCACGCTCTGCTGCGGTAGACGCCCTATATAACCTGCTGAAAAAGTGAAATGAAAATGCTTGATTTTTCACTTGAGTAAATGTACTAATGATAGTGGTACGGGAGGGGGGGTTCCTCTTTTTCTCAGTGCTGGCACTCGGCCACCCTTTCAGGCCTTTCGCAACCTTAATATAGACACATAACCTGTGACTTCTGTATGTGTGCAAGTGTGAAACGGTGAGGCAGGGAAGGTGTTTGTTTTTCAGTGCAAAGGTACCCAGGGTAGTTACAGGGTAGTTACCCTGGGTACTTGCATGAAAAGTTTTAGTTTATTACTATTGGATCTTTCCTAATTTTGACTGCAATTTATTTCAGTTAAATGGCTGGCCTTCAGCCTACCGATCTTTATTGTGATGTCGCCGTTGTTGTGCTTGTGAGATGCATGTGGGGGGATCGGAGATCCCGACATGCTCGAAACGGATGACAGCAAAACCATTACATCAACTTGTTGATTGACCGCATTTGAAAAGTCAGCTTTTGATCAAGCTCTGTATCCTCCCCCCTCGATTGCCTCTGTTACCCTTCGCTGGACATTCATTTCATAGAGATAATTTCCATATTGTGGCTCTCCTTATGTAACACAACAGCCCTGACATAATCATCTGAACACTTGCTTTCTAGGAGGGTGAATAAACACGCCCTATTCACAGGATTCACAGGGTTTCTGCTATTTAAAAGACGCGTGCGGCATTAATCGACAAGACAGTTTGCCACCTTATATCTGCTGTTTGAGCAAAAGTAGGATACAAATTCTCCTTCTCCCAGTCAGGTCTCCTCAGTGGAGACGGGCTTTTCTCTTTTCCTTTCACCCCTCTAACCCTCCCGCTCATTGCGGTTTCGGGCTGCATTACCCCAATGCAGCCTCCATCTATATTGGGCCCCTGTAATTATGTCAATGTAATGTTTGTATTTATAGGCGACTGCCGCAGCGCTCTGGCACCCGTTCTGTCCCAGCTGGGAAGCATCGGTCTCTGGGGCCCCTGGATGGAAGCAGCTTCTAAGGTCGGCTTACCTGGTGGAAACCCTTTATGCCATCCCCTAAATTTATGGTTTCACATCATCTTTTATAATCACACTCGGGACTCAGAAATCATGTTCATTTAGTTTAATATGTACAATAAAATAAACTATTTACATTATATAAAAAATGATTAAATTTACAAGGCAGACACAAAAAAACAAATCTTTTTGGTTTTTCTTTTTTTTGCTAAAGACTGGGTAGCCCTTTGTCAACCAGGTGGCACTGAGATGGCATTGCACTTCTGTGAGACGCAACTTCCTATTTTAACCCTAGGGAGAACAGAATGAAAGGCAGTTTCAGAACAAAACGTTGTCTCACGCGTATACGTGTACACTCATGCTAAAAAACACAGGATCAGACTTTCATTGTCTTTTTAGCCAGTGGAGAATATGGCACTCCTAAGGATTTTTAATTATGTTTTATAAAAGGCACTATAGATGAAAGTACAAAAAGAAATGTCAATGTTCTTCAAAAATGAATGTCTGCTTCCAGTTTCTTCAGAGGCATGTGCCTGACATGTTCAGTGGAATGATCCATTAATTTGCCATCTATATAAACAGTATTCCATACAAAAAAGTAGTACCAGCTACGTAGTTGAAAAAAAAAAAAAGCGAACAGATTTCAACTGTTTCAGTCGTAAATGGCTGTTTTTCCTCCTTGATTTGTGGTGTGTTTGTCGTTTCTCGTAAAAAATACCATTTAAATAAATCTCTCCACAAAAATATAATTTCAGAGCATCTCAACTCAATGCTTCTTTTGCCCCGATGGAATACAAATCGCTCTAATATTCCTAGGTATTACAGTTTAGTCATCATGCTGTTTATGCCGAGGCGGTATCCCTACATACAGCATCCGCCTCTAGCTCGTCATGGGTGTATTACAGTTCTTTGAATCGGTCCACAGGAGTCCTCGTCTGTCCTCACATGTGCCTCTTCATGTGCAGGGCGAGGTGGTCGGAGCGGGAGAAGGCCCGCTCACACAGGTGACACTGGAACGGCCGGTGTCCGGTGTGCTTCCGGAAGTGACGCGTGAGCTCATCGGAACGCGCAAACTTCCAGCCGCAGCCCTCCCAGCTGCAGTGGTACGGTTTCTCTCCTGCGTACAAAAACAACAACGGCCGTGAGGGAAGTCACAGTGTATAGTTTGTGTGCATGTGTTTCTGTTTCTTGTTTCAGAATTCTTTGAATATTATATGTGGTCAATAAAAAGAGAAGAATATCTTATTTAAACGTCCGTGAGATTCTTACCTGTGTGCGTCCTGTGATGAGCCTTCAGGTGGGAGCTCTTGGTGTAGGTTTTCCCACAGCCCGCGAAGGTGCAGGTGTGCGTCGCAGTCCGTTTCCTCGGCCAGGACCGGCGACCCCTTTTCGGCTTGGCGTCCATCACATCAAGCGGGGAGGACGGCGGGGTGAGTAGCACCCGCTGACCGGCCGCCGGCTGCTGCTGCTGCATGCCCATGGCTGCGTCTTCCCCGAACATGCCGGAGAACTGGTGGTGGTGGTGGTGGTGAGCCACGGGGAAAGGCATCTGCACCCCTCCGTGTGCTTGAGGGAATCCCCCGGACGCGCAGCGGTGGTGTGCGTGGTGGAAGCTTTGCTGGAACGCAAGGGAGGCTGAGTTGCACATCTGGGGCTGCTGGCACTCGGAGCTCATCAGGTCGTCGGGGCTCAGCGGCGGCGTCATGCTGCCCAGTGCGCCCTGTGGAGAGTTGGCGAGCCGCGGCTGCTGCTCGTACGACATCATGCACGAGACGCTGCCCTCGTGCTTGACTTTGGCGCAGCTCTGAGGCACCAGACCCATGGCCGGTCCGTATGTGTCCATGGAATCGGGCTCCACTTTAATGATTGGATGCTCGGGGAATAAATCCTGAGTAGTCGGGAAAGGCGTGGAGCTGATCTGGAATCTCCCGTTGATGCCGCTGCAGCTGCCGGGGAGGAAGCTGCTGTCGACGTCGGAGCGGAGGAGCTCCGCCATCAGGCTGTTGTAAGGCGGCGGTGGGCTGTTCATGTCTGGGACAGATGCGTAACTGGCCGGCTGTTGGGTCATCCCGGTGTGCTGCTGGTAAACGGACGCCCCGGACTCCTGCAGCCGATAGGACTCTGCTTCAGAGCCCGCGGCCGGCGTGCCATCGGACACGGTAGTGTTACTGAGAATAAACTCAAGATCCAAGAACTTATCCAGGTCCTCTTCGTCTTTTCTGCCGAGGCAGCTGCTGTCCATGTTGAGCGCAACGTCGCTCATGTCACACTTCCACCTCTGGAGCAAGGAGTTAAGAGTAATTAGTGTCTTTCAAAATTGAAAACGCCCCCCCCCCCTCTTATTATTTCAAACAAGTCATTCAACCCGATAAAATAGCTCTAAAACTGCCAAACAAGTGCAGACGGAAAGAGCGTTATTCTAAAAAAACCCGTTTCATTTCACTATAGCCTACTGTAACTGCATAACTCAAGTTTTCTAAACGTCTCAAGGACCATCAGACGCATATGTATATGTATGTATTCTGTTATAACAAACTGACATTATGTTCTGTTAAATGTAAAAGACAAAAAAACTCAACTTACATCTTCCCAACATTTCTCCTTTTGGATGGCAAATGTAGAGATTGATGGTAAAATGGTCCCACTCAAGGCCATTTCCATGCGTTCTTAAAAAAAGTTTTAAAAGTCCTTAGAAAATGCACCTTCTCTGTTGTAAAGTAAATCTCCGCTTAGTCTTGAGAAAAGAAACAATTAGATTGAGCGCGTTTTGCTTATTCTGCCGTCCGATGAGTTGCTGCTCTCTTCTCTCATGTGCGAGCTGTGCCGTCTGGAGGGAGTAGCTTTTCTTATAAATATTGTTCGCAGCACAAGTCGGACCAATGCGACGCTAGGGGAAGGAAGCGCGTCCAGGATGGAGACGCTGCGCACCGGCCAAGCCCCCTAAATTTAGCCACGGTATAAAAGCCTGAGTTTCCCTGACAGTCAGAGACAGAGAGGAGGCGAGAGAGTCGAGGAGGAAGAGGACTGATGCGGAATGCTCTCTCTGCTCCGCTGCGGGCAGCTACTTAACCTCCTCAGGGAAGAACCCGCCCTCCTCCTCCTCCGACAAACCTGGCCAACAACTGGCAGGGCAAAGGGAACGAGACCGCCCCTACAGACGATCTACCACTGAAACAGTAATAAGGTGTTCTCAAAAGACGACTTGAAAGTAAAAGGATCCACTGACTAAGCCGCAAATATTATGGCACAGGGCCGTGCGTAATGCGCATAGACACGCAGCGCTGCGCTGCGACCGCTGAGGTTCCAAGGTTTGCTGATATGACAACACAGACACACGTCTATGAACACAAAAGCTTCCTAAATGTGACACTTATTTATTATCTCTTGCTGTCAGTGATGGTCTGTGTTTCTGTCAGAACATGAGCAGAGGCGAGAGAAGAGGGGAGGTGATGCCTCCTTCCGCTACGAGGCGCCAGCTTATAAACCACGGCTCTTCTCACTCAACAATAAGAGTTGTTGGTTCAAATTTGAACACTGTGCCCTCCGTGTGGAAAAGGAGCATGTGGCCCCGAAATATCCAACCATTAGCGTGCTGATTAAATTGAGATGACGTTGTCTTTTTGTGACTTTGTTGGTTGGATAACAAGTGTTCACATTCAATTTTAGCTCAATGTGGTTGGCAAAGACTGACCGTATGGTCACGTCACTCCATTACTTCAAAATTGTTGACTTTCTATTGTGTGTAAGAACAGGAACTCGGTTTGTTTTTGCTGACCCATAAGGCCCCCCAGGGAAACAAGGAGCTGAGGGACCCAACCTCCATACTTGTGATATTTTAGTCATAAGATATATCGCATAAATATTTGGAGGTGCGAGAAAAAATTCAGAGCCCAGTACAGAAAGTATTTCTCAAATGTGTGTCAATGGCTTCAGTAATTCCTTCAATGACTCATGAAGAAAAAAAAAAGCGACCTCAAACACTTCTAATAGTAGGCAGCGCTAGTTTCCGCCCATGTCAGAAGCAGACAAGAACATACTGTACTTTTATATACACGGATTGGAGATGCTAATTAAAGGCTCACTCGCATTTGATCAGCCATTTACTTTTGGAGGCTTGGCACGCTTTGGTGATTTGGTGGCCTTTCCTCCTCAGAGTGCATGCTCAGCATACCGAGCACATGCACAAAATGAATGTCGGTATTGGCCGTCCCTTTCAGAGAAAGGTGTCCTTACTAAAGCTATTTAAACAGCTCTGCAATTTGATTGAAAAGTCATCTTTAAACTCCTAAGAACCACTAAGCTCACTCCCATTTGCATCTCCCTCTCATGAGAAACAACAGTGGAAATACTCACATATGAGAATTTGGACTATTCCAATGTGATGAATTTACTTGATTTAAACACCCAATTTTCCACATATATAAACAATTTCTATGTATCTTGACTAAGCTTTGAGGGCACAAAACTTCGATTGGACTTCCACCGTGAATGGATTACAAGACGTTATTCTCCAAATGAAAATGGACAAATCCAAAAGCAATGGCCAGCGGGGGGCGACTTCTCTGGTTGCAAACCGTGACTGTGTATAACAAGTAGACGTAGTTATTATGTCTCAAATTCTTTTGAAGTCTCAAGGTCAGGGATTTCATCTGTTTCTTGCAATCAGAGAAGCATGTATGGCTCTAATTCATGTGCTCATCTGGCTGCAACCTAAATTAAAAGTTAAGCCCATGAGGAAGCGCATTAAACCTTCATTCTCTTTACTGACCAGCAAGAGTTAACTCTTGAGAGACAAAATGACTCTACTTCTCTCTTAATTTATTCCCTCAGTAGACATTGTAAACATGATTTTATGGTCTCTCTCTAGTTATAAGTATTTTTCAATACCCAATGATGTTTAGTGAACATTTAGTAAATCATGGTCTATATAAAAAAAACATGTTATCGTGGCTTCGCTGCAGCTGCGTTTTCCGACCTGGCAGCTTTTTGTCTTAAAACTTTTAACTCTTTCTCCATGTTTTCAATTCATGAAATTAAATTAAATTCTTATTCAGTGCTGCAAACCAAATGGTGACATCAACTTCTTTTGTCCTTTGTATGTACACATATCCTTCCAGCTGCGCTAACAACTGTCATTTGGCTCATGCCCTCGTGGTAGGTCTGATCTATACATTACGCAAATTTGTGTAAGACAATGTAACTGTCCATTTATAACTCCGTTCTCACGTCTCCTCATTTTACCTTGAATAGATAAGCAAGTCATTTAAAGATACATGGTGGGGTTAGGGTTAGGCTTAAGGTTTTTGGTGGGCAACAGTGTCAGAAATGTAAAGTACGGCTTTTTTACGGCATAAAAGGTTTGGTTGTTCATTTTAGATTGATTACACTTTATTACACTAAAGCTGTTTACACCCGTCAGATCTGTAGCTCTCGGCTGGATTCTTGTCTCTATGTTGTCCTCCAACGACTCACCTACTTCCATCACAACCTTGTCTCTCCTGTTTCCTCCGCCTTCCCGGCACACTCGCTGGTTCAGTAATCGTTAATCATGGTGATAACTGAATCAAGATTTGAAACACACACACACACACACACGGCACTATTTACTCCGTCGCGCCCTGTTTCTTTTGTCTCACCGTTAAGGCAATCTGATCCTTTAATTGAGACGGTAACAGCAGAGCCGTTTCTTGTTTGTCCTTCCTCAGCCAGCAGTGGCAGCTGTACTCCACATGCCAAAGCTATTAGATCTGACATGCAATTGTACGCATGTGTGAAGAGTCGGTGTGTGTGTGCCTGTTGTCACACCGTCATGGTGTGCCTTTCCATGTTGAAGTGAGTCCCGGCGGGCTGGCTGGGTGTTTCTCTGTGAGGGTTTCTCCCATGTGCTCATCTGGCTCTGCGTCATCGTTTGGGCTGAGATTTACATCGTGACAAAACAACGACTGATAGGCTGCAAACACGTGAGCTTTAGAGGAATCCAAAGCTCGCTTTAAAAGCCATTCCCAAATAAAAACATTCACTGGGCATATTCTACTAGAGACATTTGAAAGGCTGCATTGAGGGTTTCTAGTGGGAAACATTGTTTGGAGACTTACTGTAGTCAACTATATGTACAATATAGTACACTGAAGCAGCACTGAAGGAAGTGTTAATGTTGTTGCAGGTCCTCAGGTACTGTTTCTATTATAAAAGCATTTTATGAGATAACAACTGTCTGTGTTGTTAAATGCTTGTTATGTTCTGGCAATTTGACTTTAAGCGCCTGATTCCAGAGGATCCGTCACTATAATGTCACTAAAACAACAGTTCTCTGTGTTATATTGCTCTCAGAGCCTCATAATCAGTAGGTTACTGCATTTGAATAGTAATTTGCTCCTACATGATGAATACCATTACATGGTTTAATAGATCGATTGCCTCGTTTTGGAGACATCAGCCGTAGAGACGTCCTCCTTCTCTCCATTGAATATGGCACCCGGGGATCTGGTGCTCAAAGCGGCAAAAAAGTGTTTCAAAAACTCAACAGAACCACGTCATCAAGGTCTGTTTATTATCCCGAGTACCCAGGTCACACTTTCTGATAAGAGACATTGCTGTTGAATTTCTCAAATGTATGTGATTTGGAACTTTACACATGAGAGGTTCACAAGCTGAGGGCCTTTTTTATTTCATCTCTAATCCAGTCCAGAGCCATTATAATATAGTACCGGTAAGCAAGTACAGTACATACTCCATGATGTCAATCTTGCTAGCCTACATATATTCTGCCAACATGCTAAATGGTTTGTGCTAATAGCTATGTAATTTCAACAGGTGTTACGGGACATGCTGTACCCTGCAGCGAAGGGACGGGTAAATGCTGTGACACACACTGTGTGGTGGCAGGACACATTAAGCAGATGTAAGCGTGTGTTGCGTTGTTCTAGTTCTCATGAATATTTTTAAAATACAGAGATCTGAAAACTGGGTTCGCCAGATGGCTCGGGGCCTTCCGTCTCCGTCGAGTCTCACATTAGGATGCTTTCCAGGAACAAGTGAAATTACCACAGCTTTTTGACAACGTGTTGAAAGTCAGGTTTTTTTGCTCTCCATATAATTTTCTAGGGTTTCTCGGGTCTGATAGAGCAGATGTTGTTAACACGGAGAGGATGCCGCGTGTGTCTGCATCGATCAGCTGTTTCAGCAAGATGGTCCGCTAGTCACCAAGAGCCAACGGCGCGTTGTCATATTCACAGATGTTCTTCATGTGGAGAGCGAAGCCGGTCCCGTGGAGGGGTTGGAAACATGCTGAAGGCAGTGATACCGAGGACGGAGGAGTTTTTCCCCTTACTCAAAGTTGTTGCAGCCTGTTCTGCGGATAAAGCGTCTCTCCTCGGCGCACATAGTTTATGTCTTTGTTAAACTTCTTGGTAACACCTGCTTTGGCTTCTCCACTTTCCTCCGCACGGCAGGAAAGCTGTGATGATCTTTTCGAGTGCGAGAGAGAACGCGGAGGCCTCTGTCCGCAGCAGAGAGAGAGTCAGAGTGGGCTCCTGCCTCAGCTTATATAGGCGGGTTATTTTTAAACCCCACACCCCCTTCCTTTATCCCTTATTACTGTACTTCCTCTCCCGCTCGCTCAGGAAGCCTACTTGGCTGGGTTTCCTGCCGGCACGCAGTGTCGACTCGGATGGAACCGAGGGAGCGATAGCACCGAGAGGGTCAGGCACTGGGAGGGAGAGAGAGAGAGAAGGGGGGCAGAGGGGCTGGCATTTGTTCAGAGTCTGACATGCGGAGGCCTGGGCCTCTTCCAGCCCTTGTTAAAGTGTCCCTCTGGAATACCTTAGAGAGAGAGAGAGAGAGAGAGAGAGCAATGAACACAAAGTGAAAAATACAATAGAGCACAGGAGAACACAGCATTAATAGTTGTGAATCAATGACTTGATTTATGTATTTGTGGACAAGCCTGCTGATATTAATGTTTGAAATCTTGCCACAGTTTAATTTCGTCTAATAAACCTGGTACATTTAAAAGAATGTCATACCCCCCCCCCCCCACACTGTTTGTTG